ACTGGAGCTTGGGGAGTATCGTATAGTTTTTGAGGACTTTGTTGCGAGAACCGATTAGGCAACGTTTCTTAAAAATAAGGGCATTGGGAAGCTCGACATGCAGGTGAGCTTTTCCAACAGAGAAAAGGCTCTGAAATTAGTAGCTTATTTACGGACGGAACTGGTGCGGCAAAGTGATATGAACACTGTATTGCATTATTCTGTTTTGTTTAGGAGGCTCGGAAAAGCACTTTGTAGAAGTTTAAATAAGTGACTGAATGTCTTTACACAATACGTTTCTCCGCTACTTTTTTCAGAGCAACCATCACCCCTGGTTTGATGTCATCACCATTTGCATCCATGTTCACTCTGTGTACTAGTAGGCTCCACAAGCTCTCAGTCAAACCTGTAAGGCTGCAAGTTCCCAATCTACCCTTCTTCAGCAGGCGTCGCAGACCAGGTACTGAGGGCGAACAAATGAAATGTCTTTACTGCATATTCTATTGTCCTGGCAAATCGCGCAAATCGAGGGCATTACTATGCTCTTCAGGATCCGGATGTGCTCATTTCTCTGGTTAGGCTTGTACACTGAATCTACCTGAAATTTAATCCCTCTGCACCTATCCATTTCTTGCTCATCAACGTGTAATTACCTTCGAGAATGAATGATTATATGGCTCCACTGCTGACCACATGTAATGGAAAATTCATCGCAATACATGTAATCTGATACCTGAAGCTTCTAAGCCAAACAAATTTCCCCCTTTCTCGTCGTTTAGAATCATTTCATTTTTGTGCGAACTAGGACTGCGTATCGTAGACCGTAAGAGGAAGTTGAATGAGAATCTGTTGCTCATTAATCACATCTTCTCATGAGCTGGATACTGTCAGTTCACGTGTAAAGGTTAGAATGATAAACTTTTAAAATACTATGCGCTAAAATATGCAAACGTCACTGATCCCAAACTGGAGTAAGCAGATAATTTGAGATGGGGTTGTAGACTTACTAGAGAGGACATAGTGCAGACACTTACTGAATTGTCTCCGAGTGATTTTCAGTGGTTATAACAAAGTGATTATTTTAAATCTATCTGATAATGAGGGGAATGTTGATAGCTCAGGTAGCGTACACGGACGTTATCTTGTTTGCTGAGCTAAACAACTTGATTGCAAATATCTCGACAAAAGTCAGGATGACTAGTGATAGGGGGTGAAGTGGAACTAAGGGATTCTCTGAGCAGTGCGTTTTGCTGACCGATGCTGGCCTTTAATCAGTATTGGTTGTTCTGTCAACCGGGTTTCGTAAGAAGGCTTGTATGCAACTTCGTTGACATAACACTAAATAGCCTCCAGATTCTTGGCGTGTTGGACCGACAGTAGGCTCTGCGACTATTCCTGGTGAGATGTTGATCTTTTGCACGTGTGGCACATAAACTGGATCTAGTTCAAAGCATTCGCTGGTCAAATCCTGCATGGAGCACCATGCCTCCTGAAACTCCTTTCGGTGTCTCGCATCTCCGTCTGCCATGACTTTTGTGTTTTTCAGAATCAATTTTTAAGCTTCTTAATCTTAATGCATGAGGAACAGTGATAAAGGGTCATGTTTCGGATGGCCGGTTTGTGTTCATTTATTGGTGTACAAAGTAGAACTTGTTTCAGTTGCTGGAGCTAATTAGGCATTTCACTTGGTTTTATCGATGTTGTTCTGTAATCTCGAAATCGATTTCCGTAAAGTGGCACTCGGTTTGTGGGTTACAAAGATTCGTTTTAACCTAATAATATGTTGATCTAAGATATATTCTCAGAAGTAAGGTAGAATTACCCGTTGTGTCCGTTTCGCTTGTTGTTCCTGCCAGCTGAGTATCTTCTTCTTCTAGTTTATCTTGATAAAAGTTCCAGAATGTCCATTGTCCTCCACTATTCTTAGCTGATTTTGTGCGTCCTCCTTCTTTAGCTCTGTACTACCGTATTGTATCTTTACCTTCTTGAACGAGGTTTGAATGAAGCCGTTCTTGTGGTTCATTCTGTTGTCCTGGTCCAGTATTTGGTCCGCATGTGTGCATTCCCAGTAAAGAGTGGTTTAAGGGGTCCTCCTCGACTAAATTATTCAGGGATGGTGGCAGATGGTTCCTTTTCATTTCAATTCTATATGGCTTTGTGTCTATATCTATCTATCTATCTATCTATCTATCTATCTATCTATCTATCTATCTATCTATCTATCTATCTATCTATCTATCTATCTATCTATCTATCTATCTATCTATCTATCTATCTATCTATCTATCTATCTATCTATCTATCTATCTATCTATCTATCTATCTATCTATCTATCTATCTATCTATCTATCTATCTATCTATCTATCTATCTATCTATCTATCTATCTATCTATCTATCTATCTATCTATCTATCTATCTATTTATCTATCTATCTATCTATATTTTCCAAAATAGCGATGAGCAGCTTATGTGCGTCATGCGGTGAATCTCGTCTCATGCTGATGAAAGTATCGTTTGCTTAGCATCCGTAGTCTTGGATTTATGGCTGGTAGAATCACGCATTTTAATTTCTGCATTACCGCTTCAGCGGCGAATTCCTCTCAACAAAACGACATAGTCGAATAGTTCCGCAATTCGGTTACATCCACTTTTATACGTTGGTATTTCTGAATACGTTTCTTCATAAATGTTGGCATCACTTATTTAATGATAGCATCTGCTACCCCCCACGAAATTCATTGCAGCCTTTTCGTTTGGAATGGATGTGTGGCGAAAAACCTGAGTGACCTGTTTTTGTCATGAGCCGAAATAACATGATCATGCACCTAAATGTCAGCTGAAATCTCATAGGTGAGCCAGGTTTGGAAAATTTGCAGTAAACCCGTGCTGGATCAAATGACGCCTCGAAAAATCCTCAGTACTTTCCAGTTCATGTATTTCATATCTTGAAATGTTCGACGGCCGGTCCGCCGAAAAACCTACAAATTATGTTTGCTAGACTGGCATGCAATGTTGGTCGTTGGCTTGTTCGCTGAGCTGGGCAATTTGGTCGCAAACGTTTCATCACCAATCGAGGTGACATCATCAGTGCGTAGTTGTGCGTAGCGGTGGGTTAGTGGTTGTGCATGTGACATGGATGCAATGTGACATCGCACACACCTTCCCGGTATCTGACTGGAGCTCAGCGTGTGAGCGTAGCCCGTGGCGGGTAAGTTGCTGATTGGTCAAATGGCTATCAGCAAAATGGGTTTTACTGTCAAAATGGACGGGTTACATGCCTTGATTAAGGGCGTGCCCCTGCTACGGTTTGCACTGGCGGACTGCAATTACTAAATACTAATGTCTTATGTTTTTGAAGACAGAGTTGGTTTATGTAATCGCAGTACAGACGCTTCAGCTCATGCTAGCAGTCCCTAATACCCGACTTTTTCATCTTGAGCCAGTTTCGTCATGTGGGATAGTCTACCAGAGATGACTATTACCCGCAATGATTAGGTATAATACAATGGCTATCCTGACTGGTGCTAACCTTTCATTTGTCTTCTCTTGTCGTCTATCTGTAATGCTACGGCACAAAAAGAATACACAAACATTATGTAGACTTGATACACTACTCATGGGGTTGTGAAGGTTGCTCAAGAGCATCATAAATCAAAGATTCATTTGGACTCCTGGCGACTCCCCTGACAAGACCAAATTGAAGTGTAAGTGAGTACATTTGTCGAAATACACAAACATATTTAAAAACGAAGACAGTTCGGAACTGATTGGCTGACTCTAACTTGCTGGCTTCGTTTGAGTATTAGTTCGTACCAAACTAGATTATTTCTCATGAAAATAAGTGCGCCACCTATTTACTTTTCTGAGCCGAACGCGTTTTTATGTGTGAATCGGTATGATGTTTTTGCTTTTCAGTTGAATATGGTGTTGGTAGTGTGCCAAACTTTGAGTGGGTCTCTTTCAAAAAGCCGGGTTTAAAGAAACCAAGAACAGAACGACTGAGTTTACGCTCTGTAGGACAGCTCACATTCGACAAAACACAGTCCTGTCTCGTAGGATCTCACTCATACGAGTTATTATGTCCTAAGTACCTTGCCAGTTCCAGCATCTCACTTCAATCGCAGTTCATTCAAGAAGTTTCCTGCCGAAAGCATTAAAATAGAGTTTACATAACCGTTTGGCCATACTTCCGTCGGGCCATAAGTAACGTAGATAGTTCTTTCGATTTGTTCCGCTACATGCTATCAAAACTCCGAAGGTAACTGTAGGTCAGATAATAATTATCACGAGATCACAACAATTTTCGAATAACTCAATGCGATCTGAACTGGCCAATGATGCATGTTAACAATTCATTCCCCACTGCTGTTGTGCAGCGTGAAAATTCGGAATGTCTCCTTTTTAAGCGTGGTCACACGCACGCAGCTGCGCCCCCAACACGCTTTCTCTGAAGCACAATGTCTTCTACGATTGTTATCTTACAAGCTACTTTATCAACATGAGGTAACAGGACTGCATATGACCTGACGCGCATTATCTCACTGAGTCACCTGTGTGGTACACGATTACTATACCAAGACTCTTAGTTTCCCTCACACTGGCAAGATGAAAACGGTTTGCCATTAAGGAGAGGTGGCATATGAGCGTCAGTTGCCAACATCTGAACGCTGAAATTCAAAAGACCTTTGATGTGATCAAAAGTTCTTGACTTCACCGCGGCTCGCTCATCATATTAGATCGTATCTAATGAGACCCTGCAGTTTCACATTACTGCTTACTACTGAAGAAGAAAGATAATATATAAATCACCTCCCAAAAGTACTGCGCACACCCATTAGAGGAATTTTATAAGTTCAGGTTTGCTTCAAGACCTCGTTTGTTTACCGAAGGCTAAAAAATGGAATGATGGTACCGTGATGAAGGCTCCTGTATTTTTTTCTACGGAAAATATCACGTGACAAGTTCGTGAGACAAGCGACTATTGATTTTCCTTTCCTTCAATCATGGGGTCGATAACAATCACTTCACGTTGATGTCCCAGGGCGTTTATTCATCAAAGACCCTTGTTGGGCCATGGCAGCAGCAAAGACAGATCGAAAAGGACAGACTTGAAGATTTTCTCGAACGATGCCGCAAGGGGCAACTGGCGATCCAGGGGATGACGGAACTTTATCAGAGATTTACAGAAACAGTAAGTCTGCTGACCATTCAGATCTAGAAACGCAACTGACTGAGGAAACTGAGTTTTACGGTTTGATTTCGTTGTCCCACTCATTCACTGGAAAAATCCGGTGCTACAACCAATACAGGGCTACCAACATTGCCTCGGTGGTTTTTTATACATCACATTTGTATCAGTTATTAGGCTGGATTCTACATAATTTTCGTAATGACGCACAGACCCCCCTGCATCTGCTACACCGATTTTCCTCTTAGCTAACAAGGAGTCTTGCGAAAGATTGGACACGATCAGTCATAATCGTTTTACTTCCTCTGCACTCTGTGCGAGTCACTACCTTCTGTTCACACCTGAACGGAAACGAGTTCGTCTGGTTGAACAGCATTGTTAGCTCACCCGATATTTTCTGGACATAACCACGCATAAACATCACCCCATAACCTTTTCGTTAACTATGGATCGCCTAGAAGCTATGTGAATATCAGCTATCGCTTGAAGTGCACTCTTGGGATAAAGGGCTCAATGAAGGGGTTGATGTCTCAAAAGTGTGGCCTTTGACTCAATGTTGTTGCTCTCAGTCCCCGAACTGAACATACAGAAAGCTGGCCATTTTTGCTGGCCACGTTGAGCATTTTGGTTCATAATCTTTCACCGCCAGTCGAGGTGACATCGACAAGTCACTATTCACCGAACTGCAGCGACGCACCAGTGATATCGACTCTACTGATGATGAAACGTTTGCAACCAGATCGTCCAGCTAAGCCAAAAAACAACATCCACCTTTGTGACCTGAGTCATCAACATTGATCCTCACTAGTACATCCACGCATCTCTAGGGGCAGGGCGATCTAAATTTCAAAGTCCAAACTTATGAGGGGAGACACGCAAGGTATTCAGAAGAAATCGAATGAATTCAACGGCGTTTCGACGTTTACCCATTGCACAAGTAAACCGGGTGTAGTTCGTTCTTCTCTCAGTTGATCTCACGATTTGATGGTGACTTGGTGGCCCTTACTCTCTGTCTGTGATAAACAGTCACAGGAACGTGCAGTTCAAACCAGGGCAAAACAGTGAACTTGCAATTAGATGTGAGGCGGTAGGTTCATGTTCACCATAGCAGAACGAAGATCACAACAAATGTATCATCCGCGTACTTCAAATCTATTGCAGAGGATGATGGTAGGATATAGAAAGGTGACGACAACCGAGACAAGACGGTGGCTTAGAGCAGGCCAGCATGTGTGGAGGGTACTTTTGACTATTACAAGACGTGAAATATACACAATCCCGGAAGAAATTTTGGCAGTTGATTATGATGAAGATCTTCGGTAGCTAGTGAGTTGATTAGCAACATTCTGTGCAGGCTGCCAAAGACGTCTTTCATCCTCTACGAAAAGACCCAGACGGATGTCTTTCTGTCGCAGCATCAAGTGTTGAGCAGCGCTGACAGAAATTAAACTGGATAGTTCCGAAGAAGTTCAGATGCTCTGTTCCTCGTCCTAGCAGAATCCTTTCAAAAGAATAAAGTGACGATGGAATTCGAAAATTGGGGGAGTTTGGCTGACTGGTCTCAAACAACTTGAGATCCTTTTCGAAGGCCTGGACCAATTAAGCGAATCACTCATTGGTACATATTGGGTACCGGTATATTACTAAGAAACAGAGATGGCCATTGGGGACCACAAGGTTTATTACACGAACGAGGACATGCAACATGAATGCTGCTGCACCTTAAGAGAGTAATTGACTTGATCAGTTTGTTGTCTGAGAGTACTGAACAGTGAAACCGACGCCCGTGATGTAGTACCAAAAGGTGATAATCTAGATTGAGGTTGCATGTGCTGACACTCCAGAGGTCATAACCATGCTTTTGCATTTCTGGCTAGATCACTTTGAAGAGCCTAACCTCAGGAGACATCACAGGTTGGTTGTTCACAACCACTAACCCATCGCCACTCACCACTACGCTCCATAATAAAGCACTGATGATTTTATTTCGATTGGTGATGAAACGTTCGCAATCAAATTGCCCAACTCAGCGAACAAGCTAACGGTCATCTATGCTATCTGAGCTGCCAACATTTTCCTCCATAGAAAAAAGTGTTACAGTTGGACGATCTTCTGTCAACCCTTTCCTCTGTGTCGAGATTGTTTTGTAATGGTTAACTGCACCAAAGACGCAAATGTTGGTGTTGTGAAGATCTTCTCTTATGGAGACTGCAGCAACCATTGTGTGTTTCTGTATAACTAATATAGGTTTTATATATGTTTATATACATATGCGTATATATATGTGTACATAAATATTATATACTCAGAAATGCTTCCCTTCCATACTAATTTCACCACTTCTGGAGCTGGTGAAGGAATACCATGAAGACATGTCGTGATCATGACATCCGGTCCAGTAACTACAAGTCCACCAGTGATGGACCTGATAGTACCAGTATATCAAGACTGTGCATTTGACAGGCGAGTAAGCAAGTAGGCTGGTAAGTAAGTAAGTAGTCGCTGTTCGGCAGATAGATGTAAGCATATTCTGGGATGGGCGCGGGAAAAAGGCAGAAGTATGGTTATGATGATTGTTCTCAGATCATCATCTCAGCCCTACGTGCAATCGATTGTGATGTCGACTTTTTAGTCCTCCAAAGCTCTTCACGGGCTGGGACTTCTTAAGGCTACAGTCAATGGCTTGTGGTTGATCGCCATTTTCGGCTCTATGCGCAATTTCTACAATTTTATGTATGATACATGATGTTGAGTCTTGAATTTTGCACCCGACCCATAATGACGGACACTTTGTGCCTGATTTGCAATCCTGGACGCGCTTTGAAGAGTATTTAGCATTGGTTGTCCTTTCTTCAGTCGCTGGTCTTTGACAGACATTCTTACGTTGAAATAGACCTTGTCCAACTTGAACTGCTGGTGGTAAGCCATCGGATGGGATGATTTCCTTGTTTTATCTAATGTGCTCCTGTAAGCCTTCTACAACTATCCCCTGGATTTACTTTCCATGTTTGTAACAATGCTCTTCAAAGGTAAACGACAGTAGTAAAGGTTCAATAAATAGTTCAGACGTAAGTTCACATGGTCCACAGTCTTTATTTAGCCTGGTCTAGGATGGGCGAAATCTCATCATCTCAGTGTGCTTTTCGTCTTCACGCCGTCACAATCTAGCACAGTATCTTCTGTTGAGCCGACACGTTGGGGGGCAAGCTTATGTGTTTCTTATCACGAGTGTTTCCTTTTGCAATAGGCAAGCATCTTCTTTACCTTGTGCAAGCATCTGGAGCATCTTCAGATATTTTTTGGCTATTTTCAACATCTTCCATATAGTGTACCTGGAGAAAGGCGTTAGTTTGATTTTTGTAACATTTTTGGCAGAATTCTAGACTTTGCTATTTGCCGGTTCGTTAGACTTTGCCGTATTTGAGCAGGAAAAATAGCAGTCGAATGGGCGGTATTGTGGCCTGTCTTACAACTTTCACCCAGCTAGACTACCTCCGTCCTTTTGTTGAGTGACAGGGATAGATAGTATCATAGTGCTGTTTTGCAATTGGCCAAAGATGATATATCGATGATCTGCTAGTGTACCACCAACAATGGGTTCTAGAGTTACAGGGATTCACGTTTTCCCTGTATAGGCCGATCTGGATGATGGACCCATTGAGCTGCGGAAGGAATGCCCATGGAGATTCCATTCTATCAGGGAAGCCAGTCTATCCTAAAAAGTCGAGAGGCACTGTACAGCTATTTTATCCTTATTGGAAAACATCAACAGTGCAAATCCCACAAAGTCTAGACTTCCCGGCTGGCAGTTTGAACATAGCCGTTCGACTATGATTAGCTATTGCTTAGATGAGATATAGCGCTGCTCATCTTTCACTCACGGAAACTATACCCATAGACTGACTCTTCGAATGACGACCTCTCAGATGGAAGTTTCTATCAATTGGTGAAAGTGTTGTTTTTCTGAACCACTTATTGATTGGTGTTGGTGTACGGACACCTGGCTCAGCCACTCGCCGCCGAATGGCAAGAAGTTTGCGGGTTCCGAGTTTCGTCAAGTGAACTCTGCCTCCAACATCCCGATATATATATATATAATGACTTCACTAATAGGGCAAAATTTTATTCAAAAATTGCCAGATCTCCCCACATTGCCATCGTAAATTGCATGCTTATCTAAACTACTTCTCACGGTCGCATGACGATATCGTTTTTCGCTTGTGCGCTTGCCTCCAATGTCATCAGATAACCACGTTCAAACATTGTATTTCTCGTCTACCTTACCAGCACGCACAAATTGCCAAGGTCAAGGTATGTGGTTCAACAAACACAGGACTTCACTTATAGGACAAAATTTTATTCAAAAATTGCCAGATCTCCCCACATTGCCATCGTAAATTGCATGCTTATCTAAACTACTTCTCACGGTCGCATGACGATATCGTTTTTCGCTTGTGCGCTTGCCTCCAATGTCATCAGATAACCACGTTCAAACATTGTATTTCTCGTCTACCTTACCAGCACGCACAAATTGCCAAGGTCAAGGTATGTGGTTCAACAAACACAGTCAATTAATCGTTTTGATTACTTGGTGAATAGGAGCATCAACATCACAAAAGATGCCACTCATCGAGGCCAGTATGGAGTACCATTATATAAACAAGAGTAAGAAGACACGCTCTGACGGTCATAGTCTGAGTGTAACCTTAGCAGCTTAGCTCAGTCACAGAACCATGGTCATTGCGATGTATATGTCCTCCTTGGGAGGCAGTTTTCTTTAGGGAGAACACAGTGGAAACAATTACATACCGTAGCAACTGTTTACTGGATTGGGTTGTTTTCTCTTAAAAGCCTGAGTAACCTACCATCACCAACTCGTCTAATTTCGGTAAACATTGTTAGCCTATCAAAAGCGTTTCGAAATTAGGGACAGTTTTAGTGGAACGGTCTTGACCGGCAACCGTACTTTGTGACAGGACACTTACAGTAAACTTGCCTTTAGCGGAATTTTACACATCCCGTTAAAGACTTCAGCTTTACTCGCAGTGTATGGACTCACAGAATACTGCACGGTATCATGAGAACATGAAGATAGTGAACTATGATTTCAGCCATTCATGGCCAGAGTAGTCAAATCGTTTTTTTAATTAAACAAAAAGATAGAGATTGGAAATGACAAGAAACGTCCTTTGGCACGTTGAAACGTTTCCAGCTGGGATCAGAAACGTCAGAGTCCAAGTTCATTTGGTGACATAATTTCGAGCGAGCTCTTCTAATCCTGTGATTTTCATGTTTATATGCCAAGATTGCAAACAGTCAGTATTGTTAATCAGGGAGTTGTAAGCAATACTATTTACATGTAGTGATGATCGTGATAGCTTCATCGTCTGTAAGGTGGACTTCCAGATCGACGGGATCTTGGTTCAGAACAGACTGTGTGTCATCACAGAGACTGACGTAGGAGCTAATTCTCCAATAGAATTTTGACGTATGTCACGCATCCTTGTCAGACAAACATCAATTTAGGAGTAGCTAGAACCAGTAAAACAGATTGTAAACCATCTCTTCAAGATAACTGGTGGTTGAATAAGAGAAAAGAAAAATTACCGTACATCAGTTGAAGTACCCTGTCTAACGGTTGGTTGCCGCCAACGGAATGCCACTTTAAACCCAAAAGTTGATCAATATAAATGATGACACAATCTCAAACATTTTGTTATCAGTTTCTTATCTAGTCGCGGAAAGGCTTGTTAGAACTGCATCGATCAGCGTAACCAAAATTGGTCACAGTCATGATGATTGTTTTTTACTGCGGCGCGCCATCCATCTCGGTTTACTCGAAACTCAGAACTAAATTTACCGAAGCCAAAACGGAATCGCCTCACCTTCACTTACGTCATGACCCGGAATTCGGAATTGGAATCGGTAAACCGGTACTCCCAGTCACATCTAAAGAAAGTGATAATCGCTTCGCACATGTGGTCCTTGTCGGGCAGTCTCAGTCTTCGCATTGTCACAAAATCGACGAAACTCTAAATGTACTCTCACGCAGTGGTCGTCCGCAGTAGACTACCGTCGTTATACCGTCACTTGTTATGACGACACTCAAGTTCATCACTCGTGATTTTGCCAGAACAGTTCTTCTAAACAGTAGATAATATCGAAAGTTCGGAAAATTCGAAAAGAAAAAGATTTAGTTTGAAAAGCCATATGCAAACGAGTGCTTCTTCGTTGGTTGCCGTTTCCGACTTTGAATGTTGAAAACATTAGCGAGCTTCTACCTTCATCCGTCGGCCTGAATCACCTGGAGGGTGAAACTCTAGCGTCTTCATGGCCGAGGAAAGTCAGTGAAACCACAGAAGCCTGATTCTCAAAAGCGTCTTCGTCAGTTTTGTTTCAGCTCCCAGTCTTGCTACACTAGACAGCTTGGGGTTTCCGTTGGATCAAAAGGTAGGAGGTGGGTACAATAAAAATTAGAATTTTTCGCGTCTGCTATATGATTCCTCGGTTAGGAGGGGCTAGCCAATCTCAAAACGAAACCTTTAGCATATGACATTACTGACATTTAAAAAGAGTTAAAAAGAGTTAATCCATCACGAAGCATGCTGAAACGTAAGAGTGGCGCAGTGCCTACTTTACTGTTTTTTCTGCTTGCTGTGCACATTCCGCCCAAGTCAGGAGTACAGGACATTCGTACATCACAGCTCCGTACAGAATACAGTTTTGTATTCGATACTTCTTAGTATCTCCAATAGGTCTTTTCGAAATGAAAGTCCACCTTTATCCTGTATGCACTTTGCCTTCTATAGAACAAGCAAGTGCAAATGTGCTGCTTGCCTTGAGTGACCGAGTTGCCGACTTGCCTAATTCAACACGCAATTCAGGTCCCAGTTGCTTTGAAGTGATTCACCTCTGAGATAACAGTCAGATGATCCCTGAAGCATAAGTTTTTTGCCATGAGCAGTTTCGTCCATTGACGTCTGAATCGTTCGAACATTTTTGGAGCGCAGCCTAGCTGACCTAGCTGATCACACACCAAGCTGGAGGCCTTCGTCAACTTTTTTGTTTTTGCACTTTTCCGAGTTGCCCTTCAGGGCCGCTCTGTATCTCTTGATGCAGGACAACCCATAGTCTTTAGGGTGCCCAGTTTCTTTATAATATGCAGTTTCTACTGAACGCCGATCTTACGGTCGAATGAAAGAACGATAAGTTTTTGAAAACTGACGGGACCAAGGATAGAAAGCCTCAAAAGCTGTTGTCGACCCATTAGATGAGAATAATTCATGGAGACCCGTTCTTTTACGGCTACCTTTCATGAAGGTGCGCGCTCAGTCGAGATTCTTGTGGTCGTAGTACACGCTTCTTGACATTCGATCGGAGGCTGACTTGAGTAACGCATCCGTAGTTCGAAAAATCCTACATACTTGGCAAATGTCCACTCAGCTTTGATAATTAGAATGCCTCATACGAGTTCAGTTGATCTGACATCTAGGCTGGCAGCGCAAGCCATATTAATGGGTGGTGGATTCAACTGCGTTATCACGTGACACAAAGAGACATTCACCCCCCCCCCCAATGATTCAGTACCCCACACATGACACACAAAGTTTAAATGAGGTTTAGTGTGGGTTTCGCTGCACTCACATCCGCTTACGTGCATTGTTCGATACAAAGCACTAATCAGGAGTTCCCGAAACAGGATGAAGTGTTCGCTTCATGCAGCAGTGGCTTGAACGCACTAGCCAATTCGCGGAGTCCACCTCGAATGCTAAGGATGAGTTTTGTGGAAGACAGTGGGCGTACGCACACGTTCCTGTCATCAAATCATATCAATAACTCAGCAACTTACACCACAGAGAAGATCACATCCTTGCGCAGCAGACCTCATCAACAAGGCTGTCATGAACAAAATGATTATCTGAGAGTGTGCTGCTTTCAAAAACCGTAAAAAACTGCATGGGCACACAGAAAGCAGTGTAAAACAGTATTAAATGCCGGCTGGTGCGTCAGGACCCGCACGCCAGATCCGAACCGATTGTCAAGAATGAAACTATGATGTAAGATGACCGGGAAGTTTCTGAGATGCTCAGATTGGTTTTAGTGCATCCCGCAAGACTGGGAAACTCGACATCAACCATTGAGTGGGAAATTGCCAGTGTCACTCCATGTAAGAATGCATTTTGTAGCGAAGATAGCAGCTGTGATTACTTAGTCTTAGTTTGTACCCTGTAATCCATCTCCGTCGGCTAGCATATGCCCGTGAAAAACATGCTCTTCTCCTGTACACCCCCTAGACTGCAGTCAAAATGTCGACGGATGGTTGTGTGCGCTTCTGCGATTCCTACGTCTTTCTTTGCCCGCCCTCTAAGCCTCAGTACGTGGAACTCGGGTGGTGCAATGAAAGACCACAGACTATGCTCACGGCTGATTACGAACAGTGCTTGGCCGCTGGTGATGTGGTCGTGCGTGACGGGAACGGAGTGACTGCATCCACGTGTATTCAGCCCGTTGCACGTTCTGTGTTTCAGATATTCAGGTGAGTGATACCCTCTGGATTCCCCGTCAGAAGTCGTGCATAAGTAACGAATAGGCAAATACTGTGTGTGAAAGTCATCGCAGTAATACAGCAGTGAATATTTTGAGCCGAAAATTGACACTCTGTTTGATAAACGTTCACTGTGGAGTCGAATTTTCAGGGCGAAATGTAGCTGAGAAATGGTTGCAATAAGATAGGGTAGATCCAAGAATGGCTTCTGGAGGTCAGTTCAGCTTGAGGACTGAGTCGCCTCGAAATCGCTGCATTTCATTTTGATGACCATACCAGTAGTCTGGGGTCTGTCGGTAATTTCAGAGTTGAATGCGATTTGTCCTGATTATCACTCGAAGCGATCATTGGCTTTAAACCATACTACGTTAGTATGAAGAGATATTTTGATTCAATGTAACGGCTGAGTGCAGTGTCATGTGGCCAGCTGTAGCATACTTTTGTCCCTCAAAGGAAGCAAGGCTCTACCTTGTGAAGGGATAGTGCGCCCCTCGTATGCGTCTAAAATACCGAGTTTTCAGCTAACTGAATGCTCCGATTCCACACCAGACTGCAGGTATTTGAGAAACTGTGCTTTAATGCATGTTTTGGAGACAAAAGCAGTAGCAGATTATTAAAATATGTATGTAATATGGTTAAGGATTCTTCTAGAACACGGGTACTATCTTTTCAGCAGCAGCAGCTTTAAGCGTTTCCTTCGGTGACCTCGGAATAGGTCAGTCGTTTAGGTGAAGGTGCTCGAGGAATTTGTATTCCCGTCATCCTTGGTAGTTATAAGTTCATTTGCTGGTGCTCACAGGGAAATCCACGAAAGGTACTTTCTGCCAGAAGTCTACAGGATTTTAAACTGCCAGTAGCTTCCACCTCTCTACAGCGTTCCAAATTTCTTTCTTCTGAAAAGTGATTTCAAGAAAAAAGGGTCTCTAATCCCATGATTCATGGGAAAATGTGGCAAAATTCATGTCGCTAAGACGTCCATTTTGAAACTCACATGTTTGGTTCTGCATCTAAGGTATCTTAGACTTGGTTCAGTCGGCTAAGCAGGTTACAATAAGGCTAAAATTCAGAATCCTACCTTTACCATCTGATGATTGTTTAGCTATCTCTTGGACAGCTTTAGGTGTCCTTCCTCAAATCAAACGCTTCTGTAACATTTATATCTCCACTATCATCATCGACAACATATCACTAATGTGAACCATGGTCAAATGACATACAGCCCTAAGGAACGAGCACCCTACTATTGAGATGAGGGAGTAGACAGGGTTGGGGCTTAGTGAAAAAAACCTTTTATACTTGGGAGGACAAGGACATGCCATGGCCCATTCTGTGCGGCATTTTCATTAGTGAGGGGTGGAAGTGCAACGTCATACTTTCTTTGGCAGACGAATGCAGGTTATGCGTTCAGCACATGAAAATCACTTTAATCAGATAGGTCTCCTATATATCACCTATATATACCAGTGTTTCCGAATAATGACCAAGTGCCGGTTACACTTCAGTTCGTCGTGGACAAATTACAGCTGGCTCGGTGCCAGTGTGTTACAAAGACGCAGGCGATGGAGGGCTTGGAAACTAAGTACCAGTAAATGATCTTCCCAGTCAATGTCTAGCTTAGTTGGGTCAATTTTCTTTTCTTAAGGTGGTTCAATTACTGAGAATACATCAAGTGAAGTTTGTCCTATGCGGTATCGACCGTGTGATCTGAAAGTACCTGCACCTGACATTTTGGTGGCAGTTATTGTGTGGGAATTTTCTGGATTATTGTACGACCACCTGTTTAACTAGAGAGACAAACTTTCATGCTCAAGTTTATCTTGAAAATTCATAAGGGACTCAGATGTTAGCTACTTTCGAAATTCGGCTTCATTCGTGAAAATAGTCCAAGGTTAAGAGCTTCACTCTACTCCTCTCAGTCCAAAACAAGTCCATGGAAGTAAAAAAGAATCTGGTGAGCGAAATGTATTCATCTGCAAACAAATTTGGTTTTGCGAGAGACTCTGGGCTTAGAAACACCATAAACGAGAGATTCAGCTGGGTTCCAGATGAGTCTCTCGCAAAACCAAGTTTGTTGGCAAGTGAGTGTTTTCGACTTATTTTCATGCAATTTGGTTTCAAGTAGAACATAAGATTGACGGAAACTTGGGGACTGTGCCTACCTCATTGGCCCCCAGAAGGGCGAAACTGGTCGTGCGCTGTTGAAAATTTTTTAACAACCTTATGAGTAGTGTATTCAGTCTGGTTAGCATTTGAAACGAAATTCTACGTTTTCTGTTCGTGTTCGATAACGTGATGAACACGTTAATTTTAAACAAGCAGATTTGCTCCAATGAACTTGTGACTGATAAAAGACGGATTTATTTTCGAGAAATACACTCATTTCAAATCAATTTTGGTTTTCACGGGAGACTCAATTGAATTTCTCGTTTATGATGTCCTCCAACTGAATGTGCTGCATACAGGCCGCCTCATGATTCAGTTGGCACGATGTTCGAGATATCGCAAGAAGGGCAAAACCAGTCGTGAGCTGTCGAAGAGTTTTCAGCAACCTTGTGAGTAGTTTCCCTTACGGATTTATTTTCTTATTATCGTTGTGGCCTTCATTTTCGTCCCTCTAGGTGAGGATCTCAATGTTCATGTTGAGAGGACGATAGCTGGTTCGCTCGCTTAGCTATGGATTCGATCCACCAGACAAGCTGGGATGACCGATGTTTTGTGTGTGCACCTGAATTTGTTTGTAGTAGACTCTAACGTAGCATCGATGGATTGTTGACTAACCTGTACTATGAGTAGTCATTATCTAGGTGACACTATGCTTAGTGTTTCCGGTTCTCCATTGTGGTTGTGGACTGCTTGCTTCCATCACGAACGAACCTCTAGCCCCACCAACAATTCTGCACTCTAGACCGCAGGGTCGCGGAGCTCGCCAGGCCTGCAGTGAAGTTGGTTTTCTGGCAGAAATTCTTGAAGAACTTGGTCCACAGATATGGAAACACAAGAAAAATCGAATTTGTTTCTTACGCCATCGTGTGGTGTCAAAACAACGCTTCGGAAAATCGAGGCGCTAAAAATGCTGACTCTTAACCTATAATTATTTTGAAGGTTCCGTCTAAACGAAGTTACGCATCACGTAGACCAGATGGACACAGTCTTTTCCCTATGACTTAACGGTAAGCCAATGCTCAGGCGAAGTCGATAGCATAAAAGACGGTTAAACCCGGTCGATAAATTGACCTGTTTACCCAAGTGTGTCCTGTCTGATTTAGGCGTCCAAAAATAGATCATAATAGATGGAGTTACATTCACTTGCAAATAAAGGTGATGTTAACAGGTCATTCGAACGAAGTGTGGCCGCTCCAAATATCGTTCCAAATGAAACATGAAACAGCTTCTGTACAATAGATTCAGCAATGAGCTCAATTATAAACAAGGGATTTTGTTGAAATTCAGTTGATCCTCCACCCTACTTTGCGAAACGAGTGCTAATCACAACAAAGTCCAATTTAGGGCCCAAACCAAGATAAAATCGGTGAAAATTTGAAGAGCAAGCCAAAATTCTTTGGCCCGAAAAATTGCCAAATGAGTAGTGAACTATCCAGAAGTTTTCATCAACCTAAACGGTTCCGTCATTGCAAGGTAAATCCGATTCGACAGTCCAAAAGCAGTCAATTTACAAAGTTGCTTTTAGCGGACAACACATCGAATCCATCCACTCATCACTCTGTAAGCAACAGTGGTGCTTTTTTGTTTGAATACCTATTGTTCCCACAGCTATGTCAACTGCAAAAGAGCTGTTACAAGCGATACAAGGTGAACCAGTTCTCATTGGCTATCTTGTCTCCCTTCGCTAATGGTACAACGTGTGGCCATTATGTCAAGCATTTTAATTAAGTCCGAGTTTTCTGGATTGCCGTACGGATGATCCACCTATTGAGCCATTGTGGATACTCCGTTCATGTGAAATCCAAGTGGTTTCTTCATTTGCTCAAAAAAATAGGTTGCTACTCCTACATTTACTCAGCGATTGCTCTTGTCAAGAACCAGATTGCGGTATGATTACGGAACTAGTGTGCTAAGCATAACGTCACCTTTCGCCAACTTTCCCTTTTTTACAACGTACTCTCACTCATCTGTGATAACATATCCGTCTAATGACAGGAGTCCTCTTTGTCAGTTCCGATGCACCGAGGTAGGAGACACAAAGATTTTCGAATTAACGGAACCTATAATTTCTGCATACAACTTCGAGGATTTCCAAAGTGCACAAATGCCAAGTAAAATACTTCCAGAAATTGAGCCTGGATCACCAGTTCAGATAAAACCAAATTAGCGTGTGTGGGTGTGTGGGTCAAAAAAGGTCCGGATACGTTCGACCAAGGAAACCGGAGAGCTTCTGGCATCACTGCAGGGGATAGTGTAACCTGATGCTAAGCTGTTCAGTCACACAGATGATTCTATATCGTTTCCATTTCAGTCGACGTGATTGAATTCCTTGAGAGACCCAGAAAGACTAACTCGGACGTACTCTGTAGTGTGTTAATCAAATCGTGTTAAAATTGAACGGTTTATGGATGCCCTGTTACTCCTCATAAGGCCGGGTGGCATACGTTCCTGTTTTTGTCTGATGTGTCGTCCAAGTTACTCGGTAGCGCAGCTTCTTGGGAAGACATCTTCTATTGTAAGTTCAACTGAAGCCAGAAAACCCATAGGTAAAGACAAAGGGGCCTTGTTATCGTAGTAGGATCGATAGGGGATTCTTAAACCAGTTACTTACGCTTCACGTTCTTTGTCGCCTACCGAGAGGAATTGCGCACAAATTGACAAGGGTTTATTGGTGATTCTGTTTGGAGTAACACGTTTTCAGCAAAAGTTCTACACATCTACAGACCACACGCCTTACTCGGAATTATCGGAGAAAATAAGCCAATACCTCAAATGACACCGCCCAGACTGTAACGCTGTGCCTTAAAACTTGCCTGCTATCGGTATCA